AACACTTTTATTCTTGTATTACACACTGCACGCAAAATCAACAAAATTATCGACTCACAATAACCAAAAATTGAAATTATTATGGAGCAGAATTTACACACATCTATTCCTTACACTAGAGATCACAATTTTCTTCTACTCATTTATATGTGTGGTTTAAGATTTTTTCCTTGGGTAATTGCTTGGATTAGATACCCTCCATTTAGGTTATCATATTCACTCTTAACATCTATGATAAGATTGTGTTTGTTGATATTGCATTTAATTGTTTTGAGTATTTACTGTAGAAAAAAATATCTGATCTATTATTGATTTTTGCTGTCAGAAATCACATTTGTACTTGCCTAAAACTTTTTTTGCATATGATCCCATAAATTATGTTAGACCGTATCTTGCATGCTATGTTCAGAAGCATGATTTTGTGGTAGTTTCTGTATTCCAACTAGTCTCTTCTTCTTGTAATGATACAGTATTCCATTTATCAGGTAATTGTTAGTTTTTCAATAATATGTGGTTTGCTTTCAGTACCATCAAATGATATTTAGTCTGATGATGCTGCTTTATTATATTTTAATTTATTTATTGCTGTTCAAATCTTAGCCATTTTTGGGAGATTTTTTCTCTGTTATCTAATTGGTTAAATGTAATGTATATGGTTCACATCTCTGCTTTCTCCAATTTTTTCCTTATAATGTTCTGTCCATCTTTCTATTTCGTGTTGTTTTGTCAATGTAATTCTGGTAATCTCAGTATTTCATGGTCCTAAGTTTAAATTCTGTTCTTCATTTGATTATTTTCATGTAGGACTTTTTTACCACTGCTCTTTTACTTAGATTTTGTAATTCTTGAAATTGTTGTCTATCTATACTTCCTCCTTTTTTTTGTGCACTTGTTTCTCTTCCTTTCATAGCTGTTTGTCTTCTGCTTTTACTTACCTGGTTCTGTGTCACTGCTGCTTTATATGCTGTATTTTTTTTAGTTAGTTTTCTTCAAACCATTTACTTTTTTGTTTTTCCTTCATGCCTAATACTTGACTATATAAGTGCATATTTTATGGCTTTTTTACAGGATTACTTTTCCTCATTTATGACTTGCTTTGTTTTATAGTCTGTTGTTGAAGATTCTTTTGTTTTGTATTCAGAAGGTTCAAAATCTACATTTGTCCTCAGATCTATCATATCATGGGCTCAGTACTATAACTAGGTAAATCCAATTATGAGAGTTTTAAATTATCTACTTATTACTTATTACTACTGTAATTGACAGAGTAAGCTTAAAAAATAGAAGTAATAAGTATCAAAATATTCACAAAAAATTCAGTCTTTTAACATTTATCTCGAAATATCTCTAATAAATTTTGAGTAAACTATAATTTTGGTGGTTTACTTTTATTAGGAGAACAACATAAAGTACTCAAAAAAGAAGATTTTGTCTTAGGATTTATGAATTCTGTAATGGAAGATAAATTACGAAAATTCTCTAGCATAATTTGTATGGATGGAACACATGGCACTAATAAGAGAGGGATGGACTTAACAATAGTTCTCATTAAGGATGACAAAAATGCAAATTTTCCAGTTGCATTCTTATTATCAAACAGATTGGACCAACAAGTTCAAGAAGATTTTTAGGTATGTATTATATGAGTACCTAGTGACAATTTATGACTGGTAAGAATAATTTTCAAAAACCTTTAGGTGCCCTCAAGAATAAGATGCAGACCGAAATTCAGGCAGACCATTTCATAAGTGATGATGATCCTAAATATTATAATGCATGGGTGAAGATAATAGGAAATCGACCAAGGAGGCTGTGATGCACCTGGCATGTTGTAAGAAGTTGGAACATTCAAGGGAAGAAGAAAATACTGGATCCAAATTTGAAAAAAGAAATTAAAAATGAAATGAAGAGAATTATTACCGAAACTAATGAAGCTCGATTTATAGACTTATGCAATATATATTTACAAAAATTTCAAGAAGCAAATGAGCATGATTTTTTAATTATCTGGCAGGGTAAATAAATATATGAAATCATACATTTTAAGTCACCCTTCAGTATATTTTTTTGTAGGTATTACTTTCAGAATGAAGAAAGGATCAAAATGTGGGCCCATTGTTACAGAAGAAATTCAGGAATCAATACCAATATGGCGATTAAATCATTTAACAACTTATTAAAAACCAACCATATAATGAGAAATGCTGCAGTGAGAATTGAAAAATTATTGGACACAATTGACAATTTAGTATATATCAAAATGTGAAAGAGAATTATAGACATGGAAAGACCAAAAGCCAACAACTATCAAGACAGGGTTATAGCAAAAGAACACAAAATAGCAGAAATGATGAAAGAAAAAGTGGAAGTCAAGAAGAATGTAAAGGTGTATGGACAATTTCAGGTAAAATATTTTAGGGATCCTAATAAATTATATAATATAAGTATAAGACAACTGTGTGAAAATGAGTGTAAGACATTGTTTTGTAGAGTATGTAAAATTTGTATTCATCGATACCAGTGTGATTGTGCTGAATATGTGGCGAGGAATACCCTGTGTAAGCATGTGCACTTGGTAAAAATGTATGAGGAGCTTGTGGGTACTAACTCTGTTTTAGATAATGCTGCAAGGTGTTTGGGAGAAAATTTAATTATCAAATCAAGTCATGAGGAGGAAATTAATGAATTTATCAGAAAGAAGCTGAAACAGAGAAATGTGATCCAGGAAAACACTATCCAACATCTTCCAGGATTAACAGGATCTTAAAAAGAAACGAAAAATGGAAAAGCAGCAATATTTTCCTTCCAATAAAAACAGAAACTGATTAAAAATTAAATTTGAACAATTCTTGTAGCTCACATGTATTTTTTGTTTTTGTATCTGTATTGAATTTTTATTATAGCTTTATAGGCTTATTTACAAGAAAGTTAATTTAACATTATGTTTACTTGATTAGTGATAGTAAAATTTCATAAAATATATGTATTCATGCTTAAGTTAGGTCTGAATTTTAAATCATGTTAAGTAATTATGTTATTTATAGACTTTTATATTAGAGTTGTATTTTGAAATAGGGATGTACTGGGTCCTAGGCGGGGTTTAGAGGGGTTTTACTTTCCCCATTGCACCAATAAGGCCCCCCTCAAAGAATAAATTTTAAAAATAGCTATTTAGTGTTTTATTTGATTTGCAATAGTTATTTTCAGTAAACATTTGCTTAATTTTGTTCAGAAAATTTTTCACTTCATGGTGAAATCTAACACAAATTAGTTCAACTTTCTAGAAATAAAAGTAGATAAAAGTCAATTTGGATTAAGGCAAGCTGAGAATAGCAATTTTTATTATAAAACAGCTAATGGAAAAATTTAAAGTTAAAAGGAAAGACTTTACATAATGTTTATTAAACTTGAGATGACATATGCCTACAAAAAAATTAAAACAATAATACCTACATATTTAATGAAAAAAAAAACAGCACTAGAATATCATACAGTCAGCTTATTCCTAAAATATGTAGTACTAATACCCAAGTTTCATTTTAATAAACATGAAATCTGCCAAATTTTAATATACACCTACGGATCAATCACAGCAAATGTACCTTGTTATTTTCAGTGTAGGAAAATTAAAGACATTTCAAATAAAACTAACAAGTCTGCTTAATCCTAAAATACGAATATTATCCTCTTCCTACCAATACCATATATTCTAGGGGTTTCTACATTAAATTTGTCTCGCTGAATATATTTGGAGACCCATAGTTTACGCATTTGTTTGCCTCCAATAGAAAACCCAAAAAAACGACACGTCAAAAAAGTTTTACTTTTTTTATTATTATTGTTTAAACAACCACTGCACAATACATTATGGCAAACAAATAATTATTAGTCTCTTTTATAAAGTAGCTACAGGTAGTCCAGAGGAACATGCCCAACATAAATGAGTTGAAATAATAAAAAAGGGGAAATTCAACGCTGCCAAACTTATTGGTTTTATTTGACTTGTTGTCAAACAATGCATTTGAACAATGTTCTTAGATAATCAAATTTGGGCGAAATGGATTTAAATGGTAACTTACTGTTTTTTATTGGGAATATGCCACAATTTTACGTTACAGTAAGTGTAATATAACATTTTGATTTCCACTTCGGAAATCGTTTTATATACTTAAATAAAATTTATTAATGTTTCGTATTTTAAGTACGATTTCCGAACTAAAAATCTAAACATCAAAATAAGCTTATTTTAAAGTAACATTGTGCCTTATTCCCAATAAAAATATTAAACTGCATATCATGCCACAATAAAAAAGCTTTATACAAAATTATTTGGCAACGTCTCGTCTCGCGTGAATAGAAGTAACGAGTAGAGGTGGGTCGTTGACGTTTTTATCGTAAACCGATTTTCGTAAGCAGGTTACTATGATTGTTTAACAGTAGTTTCAAGTAAGAGAGTACTTACATAAACAACATTAAGTTGCGACAGTTACTCACTACCCGTTTTCTTGATTTGTCCCTACGATACCGCATGATAAAGTGTTATGTATATAGTGTACTATTACAATGCGTGGATGGACGTTAACAGTCAGTTCGTTACGACGTTTAGAGAGCTTTGGAATGTGGGTATTTCGTCGTATGCTGAAAATTCCATGGACCGACCGTGTTAGAAATGAAGAAGTTTTAAGGCGTATGAATAGAGAACGTGAACTCGCAGAAATTGTCAAAAAGCGTAAAACGTCTTGGACACATATTTAGACACGACTGGTATAACTTTCTTAAGCTTAATATAGAAGGGAAAATAGAAGGCAGACGCGGCACTGGTAGACGACAAATGACCTGGCTGCGCAACATCAAAGATTGGACAGGATTAGAATTTCAAAGTTTAATAAGGAAAGCCCAAAATAGGGAAGACTTTGCAGAGGTCATCGCCAATCTTCGCTAAGAAGACGGCACCTAAAGAAGAAGAAATTGTTTTAAATGTATATATTTTAATAACTTACCTCTTCTACCCAGAACATTGGAATAACTGTGGTCGTAAAATTTTTAAATAAGTCGACTTTTTGGTTTGGTTCCAACGGCATACTGAATTGTAATCGCTTTTTGGCAGATACGGGTCCTCCAGTCATCTGTAACATTAAGGAAAATATTTTAGAAATATCAATTGTTTTATAAGTCTGGTCAATTTTTATATCATATAATATTTGTACCAGATATATGTAAATAGTTCTTGCTCTTTTAATAAATTTACATTAGTATTACAAAAATTGATAACTATTAGGTAACCTTCTAACATACACCTAAACTATTATTAATATTCTGTGTTGTGCGCTTCACAAAAAAGGTGTTCCTGGTGATTATTTGAAGATTGTAAGGAATATGTATGATGGAATTCAACTAGTATTAAGATAGGTGTGGGAAAGACCAATTAGTGTTGGATCAAATTACAGGAACTCATTCCTTATTGTTTAATGTATGTCAATGAGGCACTGTTAGTAGGAAATACTGAAAATAATTAAGACCAAATACTGGAATGGTGGAGACAAGCTCTTGAAGAAAAAGGTTTAAAAATCATTAGAACAAAATAGAGCAATTATAATGATTATATAATTAAAGACGAAGTTACTACTATACAGTACCGGAAAAAATTTAACGGGGGTATGCGCTTTCAGCAGGAGGAACTGAGAAAGGCATATTTAAAATATCATAGGATTAACAAGTAATTAAGGGTTAGGCATTGAAGGAATTAATTTAAATGTCAGCTTACAATTTATAATGAGATTATGCCATAATTTTACTTTAAAATAAGTTTATTTTAAATTTTTAAATTTCTCTTTGGAAATCAGCTCTAAAACCAAAACATCAATAAAAACATTTACTAATGAATATTTTAAAAACAATTTTTAAAATGGAAATCGAAACGTCAAAATAAACTTATTTTAAAGTAAAATTATTGTGGCTTATTCTCAATAAATATCTTCTTCTTTCAGTGCCCTGTCCGATTATCGAACGTTGGCGATCATATTGGCAATAATAATTTTATTGACGACGGCTCTAAATAAATTAGCGGTGGTTTCTTGATACCATTCTGGGAGATTTCGGAGCCAGGATGTTCCTCGTCGGCCTGGACCTCTCCTTCCGGCGATCTTACCCTGTATTAGGAGGTGTAGAAGGTTATACCTCTTTGGATGTCTCATTACATGACCGAAATATTGTAATTTCCGAATTTTTATCGTCGATAAATCCACATCTCAAAGGCCTCTAATTGTTTCATTATTGTCTCTGTAAGGGTCCAGCTCTCCATACCATACAGCAATGTGCAGAATATGTAGCAGCGTATTAATCTGATTTTAAGGTTTAACGTAATATCTCTATTACTTAGAATTTTCTTTAATTTATATAAGGCGGCTCTGGCTTTTTCAATGCGTATTCTTATTTCTTTATTTATATCCCAGTTATCGTTACCGTTTGCACCCAAGTAGGTAATATTGTGGACTCTTTTTATTTCTATTCCATACGCTCTGATGTTCGTTGGTTGTAACTCCGTTTTGCTGACAACCATAAATTTTGTCTTAGAAGTATTAAGTTTTAGTCCATATTCATCATATGCTTCGTTTACCCTGGTTATAAATCGTTGTAGGTCTTCTTCATTGGAGGCAATAAGTACCGTGTCGTCTGCATTTCTGAGATTGTTGACATTAATTCCGTTGATTTTAATGCCTGTATCTTTAACTAAGGCTTCTTTGAAAATAAATTCGGAGTAGATATTAAAAAGTAGTGGCGATAGAATACATCTTTGCCTCACTCCACGTCATATTTCCACTGCTTCCGTCGTGTTGTGTCCAGCTCGTTTGTTTGCACATTGATGCCAATACAAATTTTTGATTATACGGAGGTCTCGGTCATCAATTCCCACCTGTTGCAAGACACCTATAAGTCTGTCATGGTTTACTCGGTCAAATGCCTTTCAGAAGTCGATAAAACACATATATACTAGTTGTTGTATATTCCTACATCTTTGAACCATGACCTGCAAACTGAAGAGTGCTTCTCTGGTTCCAAGGTTGTGTCTGAAACCAAATTGTGTTTCACTTAGTTGTACTTCTGTTTTGTTGTAAATTCTCGAGTGCAGTATTCTTAAGAAAGTTTTTAGTACATGACTCATCAGACTGATAGTGCGATAATCGCTACACTGTTTGGCATTTATTTTTTTCGGTATCATTACAAATGTTGATAGTAGCCAGTCTGTTGGTATATGTCCTGTTTTGTATATTTTATTAAAGAGGCTTAGAAGAGAATGTTTGCCCTTATCGTCGAGCAGTTTGATTATTTCGCTTGGAATTTCATCTGGACCGGTTGCTTTCCTATTATTTGATAGCTTTATAGCTCTTTCCATTTCATCGAGTGTTATGTGTGGACCAGTCGATATATTTTTGATTTGAATTTCTGTTCTATCGTCATCAAACAGCTCCTTAATATATTCTTTCCACCTCTCTAATCTGTCTTGTTCATTGACTATAATATTTCCTTGTTTATCAAGTAAACTACTTGCAGTTGTTCTATATGTTCCAGTTATTTGTTTTACCTTTTTGTACATATTAAACGTGTCATTCTTTTTCTGCAGTTCTTCTATTTCAAGACATTTGTTGCTGTTCCATTTTTCCTTTGCATCCCGAATTTTCCTTCTGATTTCTTTATGAATTTTATTGTATTCTTCAGTGTTTTTATTTTTCTGTTTTCGTCTGCTTTCCATTAGTTCCAATATTTCATCAGTCATCCATTGTTGTTTGCGATTATTAATAGTTTTATACTTTTTAGTTGTTTCTTGCATAATGCTTTTGACATGATACCAGTGGTCTTCGACGTTATGTGTTTTTCTCAATTTTTCAACTTCTTTTTTATCTCTTGTGTAATTTCATGACTATTATTTTGAATACAGTCAGTATTTATTCGGTTAGTCGGTTGTTGGCGTTTTTCTATTTAAAGTTTGAGTTTTATGTCACCGATTAATAAGTTATGATCTGAGGGGACATCGGCTCCAGGTAGTGTTTTAGTTATTTTGATTGATTTTCGGTACCTCTCGTTAATTGTTATATTATCGATCTGATTTCTTATGATCTTTTCTTTAGTATCTGATGGAGACTTTCAAGGATATAAACAACGCTTGGGTAGTTTGAAGAATGTATTTGTCACACAAAGATTGTTCTCTACGCAGAATTCTACAAAACGGTCTCCTCTGTCATTACGTTGTCCAAGTCCAAAATTCCCTACAATGTTTCCTTGTCTACCTTTTCCTACTTTGGCATTGAAGTCCCCCATTATTATACTAATGTCTTTGTTTTTCAGCTGACTCATTACCTTCTTTATACAATCATAAAAATTCTCTATGTCATCTTTACTACTGCTGGCTGTGGGCGCATAAATTTGGACCAGATTTATATCTACTGGTTTTGAGTTTAATTGCATTACGATGACTCTGTCCGAAATGTTACTTACAGATTTAATACAGGAAGAGATTTCTTTATGTACAATGAATGCGACGCCATTCCAGTGTTTAGTACCTTTTTCTCCGGAGTAGAATACATCGTGGTCGTCTATGTTACATTCACCAGTCCCTGGCCACCGCATTTCGCTTATCCCAAGAACTGGTATATTAAGCCTTATCATCTCACGTATGGTGTTTTGTATCTTACCAGGCTCGTAGAGACTTCTTACATTCCATGTGCCTATTTTGATACCTGATTTTATTCTGATTTCTTTTCCTTTATCACAGGGATACCTTTTCTTATCATATGATAGTGCCATTATGATTGAACTAGGGAATAATAATGGGGTGGTTTCCCGTTGCCTTCCCCATCGCAGTATCACAACCATTTAAACTGTTCCAGTCATGCTTGTGATAGCCCAGTTTCAAGCCGATCCAAGATTATTTCCTTTACGCCTTGAGCTAGTACTGATGATCGCTGCTGCCCTTTATCACATATAGCGATTTTATATAATCCCTAAAATCAAGGGATTGCCACTTCCGCCATCCACACCGTACCGAAGAAATTCTTCTCCGCGGTGGCTGCCGTTGTGGACTTCATCCGTGACCCTGGACAAGGGACCCTAAGCAGGTATTAGTTTCCCGGGTCAGGAAACACCTGGAATCTGCGGAGGGCAGGGATTGATTCATTTTTCCTGATAGGACTATCCAGAGGAGTTCCTACCCGCTACCCGCTATTCTCAATAAATATAGTAAATTCTATTAAGATGCTACGAGAGAAAAGCTTAAAAAATATTAAATGGCATGTCGTCGCTTCACTCTCTTAGTGGGACATTGGTTTGTAGGCGTGGCGATGGGTCATTGATGTTGTTAAAAGTGTAATTAACTATTACCTGATCACTCATGGAAGCATGTAGCGAATTGAGATTGAAATAGGCAAATAATTTCGTCTTTAAATTAAAAATAACAAAATGCCATTTATTTCACATATAATATCTTTGACAACATATTTTTGTTTAGCTATTTCAGAAGTATTGAGTGTGAATATAAAATTAGTTCTATGAAAATAAAATAAAATAAAAATTAATGCCAAAACTAATGGTTAAATTAAAAATAATTTTAATTAATGTCTGTACAACACGGTCTTTAGCATCCCTCAAAAATAAAAATCTAGGAAGTATTCCTAGATTTTATAAAATAAAATGACCTAATGTCATTTTATTATACCTTGAGTACTAATCACACGTGTACGAAAAATTAAAGCTAAATAGGCAACGACTTGTGCATTATGTAAAGGATAGCCGTCTTGTTAAAACCAAATATCGTTTAAGTTGATTTAAAGATGTTGAAGTGCAGGAATAACTTGATTTCGCAGTAATTGAATAGATTTTACTATGTTTATATTTTCTTCGATGAAAAAAATATCAATAATATTATGATTTTCCAAAATTCTATTCAACTTTTGTGGATACTGCGTATGCAAAGACACACTCTAGTGCTTTAGATTATGTTTCTTGTGAATTGTGAAAAGCACTCGTCTGTAAACAAAATATTCTCCAAAAAATTAATATATTCATTGCATTTCTCCATAATAATTTCACAGAATTCCACTAGTTTCAAATAATCATCAGGAAATATTTCTTG